TGCATTAATTTGCTTTTGACTTGTGGTACTGCTTTTCTGCACTGTTTAATCAGTCAAATTGATAGTCTCTTATTCTTGTTGTTCGCATTCTTATCCTATGCAAGCGTCTAAGCTTTGACAGAAGCAAGCTACAATCTGAGGAAGAGTTCTTAGAGAAACTTGCTTCAGGTTGTGCCTGGTGGCACTCTGAGTTTTCGGTTGGTGCAAGACGTACACAAATCATCGTAGCACAGGGTTTTCAACCTATACAAGGAGTAGCGCTACATCAAGGCTCATTTCAATATATGTGTTTCAGACGATGCCAAGACACGTGAGCCCAGTAATTCATTTCGTAAGTCTATTTCAACAGCTAGTAACCGGGACCGAAGTTTTCCAGTCATGATCCATGACGTAGCTCTTCGACTCTTCTACTTAACTGTAGACTTTACGGCCAGCACTCAGGCCGGTGTTGTTGTATGGAAAAACTCAGATAGATTGAAACAGTCATCGAATGAAAGCCTCTCATGGGAAGAGTGGCCAAAAGAGAATGTTTTGGCCTTGCTACTGGAGATTGTTTCTGATTCGTTTTGTGAATATGCATCATTTCTGAATCAAGGAAAATGTCTTCCGCACGATATGCAGCGTAGAGAAGCCACTGTTATGATGGGCGAAATTTTTGCAATAAATAATGATATTGCAGGGTGGGGGTTGAACAGATACCGTTACAAATGACTACGGCCAAAGTGGAAACCCAGTTGGAAGATCCTTAAAAGTAGACTACGACAGTTGCTGCTCAATATCGAAGGGGGGTGTTAATGCAGGCCATTGCTCAATGGCATTTGAGACCCTGCAGTGTCAGAAGCTCGCTGCATCGTTTTGTCGGCAATTGCCACCTCGAGCATGAACGATGTTTCAACAGGGCTGATACTCCTTAAATGTCACCACACAGACACCGCACGTCTACACATATGGCGCTCAAAAGAAACTGTAGCAAGCCTTTGACAGCTATTTTGAAGAAGTGAATGAAGAAAATACCAAAAAATTCATACTGCATCGATTTTCAGGCAGGATAAACTGCGCTGCGACGCAGGTTTATAGCAGAATGTGTCTCTTCAAGTCTTCTACAGCACATCGTGAATTCGCCAGAGAGCGACAGCGTTAGAGGCGCCAGAGAGAACTGTGATGAGTTGTAATGCGCATCACGTGTGGCTACAACAAGGGAAAGAACGATCAACGAAGAAATAGTTGAGTCCCTCGAGAAGGAACGTTTGGGAGATCTTGAACACATTCCTCACAAATCCCCGTCCAACCCAATGATCAACAAAGGCCGCCTAATAAAATTTAGCAAAGATTAATTGATAATTGATATTTAATTCATCCGCATCAATAACTGCAGTGCACGTCAGTAAAAAAATCCACTCATTTTCTATGACTGCTAGTATTTTCAGGTGGCGGAGGCAAACGCGCTAGACAGTGCTTCCAACATTGCTGATCCCGTGTCTGCGTCTGAGCATTGGCAGAATACAACCGAAGTCTAGACCAGTCTCTTTCAATACACATGCATCAGATAAATCTTGGCCGCCACCTAGGTGTTTCAGCTGTCGGCTAAGCAAGTAGCATTTGATATTTGCTTTGCCATCCTTTCTCGACGCATTCACAGTACGGGTCCAAACCATCGCACAGGTGACTTCTCAATCTGGACAAGCAGAGGCTGAACACCAAAGTTCTCGCGGACGTCTTCTCTCTATATCACGTCGAGATGTTTAAAGCCAGCAGCACGTCCCAGAAAGCATATTTTACCCGCGTGCACCGGGGAACAAAGTATTTCAGTTATGGCCCACGACACATAGCCATAGGTAAGCATGGAATGAAAATCGACTTTAACACCGAGAGCTTAGTTTTCAGACTCAGCTCTGCTTTGGTCACAATGGCTCGGGCTTGTTCAAGTAGAATGCCACTGGCTACTCAAATTCGTCGGTCGATATCTACCTGTACCATTTTCCGTAGCCACTGCGCATGACCAAAATAAAAATAATAATAATTATAAACAAAAAGTACTTTAACTTCACCTGTTCTACTGTTTATTCATTCATCTGAAAAGAGCAACCTGCAGGAAAAGAAAAAACACCTGACTTTTCGTTTTGTATGAGTTCAGACGAATGCAGGCCTAGTCGCACTCGGCAGTGAATCGTTCAATAGAACGCAAGAGGTGAATTTCAGAGCGTGCCAACAAAAACGCCGAGTCTTATCGAATGTACATCCCATACTCTCATACGCTCGTTTTTGGATGCGACTAACTACTCAATC